TTAGAACTGCCTAATAATATAAAGTCCTCTCAAGAGAAAGCTACTATCAGAGACTCGAAATTTGTAATCACATTGTCTGGATTTCAGTTTGAAAATTTAGACATGTCAGATAATAGGCAAAACTAAAAAGACTAACGGGATAAAATCAGAAAATAAAAACCTGCACAGTTGACCTTGCTGCCGTGTAGTTAAAAACTGGACTTTAAAACAGAAATGATTAATGTGTTGGAAAAATAAGTGAGAAGGTAAAGAAATGAAATGTGTAACTGGGACCAGCATAGTAAGGAAATAAATGAAGATATGATGAAAGTACAAACACTTAAATTATGAACTCAATATGTTAACAATAAAGAGACATACAGTGAAATAAAAGTTCATCTGAAAATACCTAGCCTGAATTTTGGGAAAAAAAGGGGGGGGGGCAGGAGTTTGTTGCAGCAGTTAAGTTGCCACTTTGAAGGTCTGAATTCCATCTCACAGTTCCTGTGTTTGAGTCCTGTCACATTTCCAGCCCCATCTTCCTGCTTATGCACACCCCGGGAGGCCACAGGTGATAGCTTAAGTATTTGGGCCCCTGCCCCCCACAATGGAGAACTAGATTGTGTTCTGTTTGCTGGCTTCAGCCTGGCACAGTCCTGGTTCTTAGAAGCATTTGGGGAGTGAACCAGCAGATAGAAGTTCTATCACATTTGCTTCTATCTCTGTACCTTCCAAATAAAAATGCATTTTAAGAAGAAAAATATATAAAACATTTCAGACATAGGATGTGATATTAATTTGTGTGTAATTGTGATCTCACAAAGAAAGGGAAGAGGGACTGAGGAAGAAGTAACATTTCAAAAGATACTGGAAGAGACTTCATAAAGTATTTTAATGTCTTTTTTTTAAGAAAATTTACTTGAGAGGTGGAGTTACAGTGAGAGGGAAAGACAGAGAAAGGTCTTCTACCTGCTGGTTCACTCCCCAAATGGCTGCAGTGGCCATAGCTGGGCCACTCTGGAGCCAGCAGCTTCTTCCAGGTCTCCCACGCAGGTGCAGGGGTCCAAGCACTTGGGCCATCATCTGCTTTCACAGGCCATAGCAGAGGGCTGGATCAGAAGATTAGTAGCTGGGAATAGAATTGGCACGTATATGGGGTGCCGGCACTGTGAGCAGATTAACTTACTGTGTCACAGTGCCAGGCCTAAATGCCTTTTTTTTTTTTTTTTTTGTAAAGATGTATTTATTTGAAAGTGTTACAGAGAGGAGAGGGAGAGAGGTCTTCCATACGCTGGTTCACTCCCTGATTGGCCTCAATGGCCGGAGCTGTGCCGATCCGAAGCCAGGAGCTTCTTCCGGCCCTTCACACATAGGTGCAGGGGCCCAAGGACTTGGGCCATCTTGTACTGCTTTCCCAGGCCATAGCAGAGAGCCGATCAGAAGTGGAGTAGCCAGGACTTGAACCGGCATCCATATGGGATGCCAGGACTGCAGGTGGCCCCTGAATAATGTCTTTAATAAATGAAATTTTAACTAAGGTGAACTGATACTTCATTTTAATTTTGATTTGCATTTTCCTGACAGCTAATGACGTTTAGCACTTTTTTATAAAATTGTTAATCATTTGGGTTTCTTTTAAGAAACATCTATTCACATGTTTTACCTATTTTTAATTAGTGTTTTTGAGTTTTTTGAGTATATATTCTGGATATTTATCCTTATCAGATCAATAATCTGCAAACATTTCCTCTCATTCTATGGGGGTATATTATACATTGCTGGTAAAATATAAATTATTGTAGCCATTATGAAAAATAGCATGAAGTTCTTTTTTTTAAACTAAAAGCTATCACATGATCTGTTATATTTCTGGTGGTATATATCTGAATTATTGAAATCAGATAGGGAAGCAATCTGGATTCCCATCAACAACTGAATGAATAAAGGAAATGTGAAATACAAAAAACAAAAACAAACCAAAAAAAAAAACAAAAAAACTGAAGGAAACAGTTAATCCATGGACCCCAAGCTTTTCAATCCCAAGATTGAAAAGAGAAAAACTAGAGAACGTGATAGTAGACACACTGTAAACCATGACCCATGTCAAGCCAGAAAGATCTTAGAATCTGCCAGAGCAAACACATTAATAATGAAAGGGAAGCTATAGTATATTTACATGTATCTATTACATAGGCTCAAACTATGAAAACCAGGGGCAGCTGTTTGGCACTTGGCATTATTGGCTAAGATGCCACTTGAGATGCCCACATCCCATCTTGGAGTGCCTGGATTTGATTTCCAGATTCATTCCCAACTCCAGGACCCAGCAGATGATAGCTCAAGTAATTGGGCCCTTGCCACGCATATGGGAAGCCCAGAATGAGTCCCAGCTCCTGTCTTCAGCCTGGCCCAACCCTGGCTACTGCAAGAATTTAAAGAGTGAACCAGCAGATGGGAGGCGTGCTCTTTCTCAATAAAAAGAAATCAAAACCAAAAACCGATTGAAAAGTAGCAGATACTTTCAGTCATAATGAGAATTAAAGGTGAAATCTACAAGGCGCCTCACTCATGAGGGTGCATTAAACAATTCATGGAAAACGCATTTAAAAAACTGCATGGATTTCAGTTTTTTGGCACCAAAATAACTTTTAATTCCATTTTCCATGAACATTTTAAAGTACTCTCATACTAGTCTGTTGGAGCTGCTATAGAGAAGTATCAAACTATATTCCTGAAACTGCCAAATTTTATTGGCTTAGAGTTTAAGACGTTAGACGTTGTAGATCAAGTCTGAACTCTGAGGACTATGAGAAAGAGTCTGACCTGGCCTCTCATCTGTTTCCTGGTGGTTTGCTGCCATCTTTGGTGTTCTTTGGGTTGCAGGAGTATCGCCCTGATCACTACTTTCATCTGCATAGGGCATTCTCCATGGCTGCCTATTTCCAAATTTCATTTTCACATGAGACACCAGTCACACTGAATTTGGGCCCACTATAATGATCTAATTTTCATTTCTCACCTCTGTTAAGAACCAACTAAAATTACGTTCTGAGGTACTAAGGGTTAGGATTTCAGTGTGAATTGTGTGGAAACACAGTTCAACCAATACCACTACATATCAAGGCTGGTGTTGTGGTGAAGCAGGTGAAGCTCCGCCTTCAATGCCAAATCCCATATCAGAGCTCTGGTTTTGAGTTTGAGTCCCCACTGCTCTGCTTCTGGTCCCAGATCCCTGCTGATGTGCCTAAGAGGGAAGCAGACAATGGGCCAAGTAGTTGTCCCTTGCCACCCGTGTGGGAGATTTGATGGAATTCCTGGCTTCTACTTGGCCCAGTTCCAACTACTGTGCTCATCTGAAGAGTGAACCAGATGATGAAATCTTTGTGTGTCTCTCTGTAACTCTACCTTTCAAATAAATAAGATGAATCTTTCAAAAAAAAAATAACTACAGATGAACCATTCCGGATATCCATCAACAGAGGAACAGAAACATTGTGTCATAATGATACTGTGGGGTAATAAAAATAAGCTGCAAATTTCCAAAGCATAGATGGGTCACATACTGAATTAGACATGAAAGTATGTATTGTGTCCATGATTTATAAATGGCTAAATCAGGTAAAATTAGTCCATAATAAGTAGTCAGAATATTATTATTGCTAGGGTGATGGCAGTAACTGGGAAGGTACATGAAGAGACCTCTGTGATTCTGTGTTTTACTGCTTTAATGTTACGTGTAGGAAAACCTAAATTGCAAGTGAATGTATTTGGATAAGTAGCAGTGTTTAAAAATTTGAACAATGTGAAAACAGTCTTAACCCGATTACTACTTTGATTTTGAAGATAATTGAAATGGGAGAAAATAAACATTGAAGTTAAAGAATTTTTCCCAAAATACTTTCATGTTTTTTTCTGAAAGATGTTTCATTCAGAAAGAAAAAACAGGAAAACTTTTAATAGACAATTATGGTTTCCTTTCTCTTTGTACAGGTAGTAAAAACTTGTAAATGTTTCTCTCATTATTCCTTAAACTCTTAAGTTCTTTTTTCTTGTGGGATATGGCCCTTCTGACTGAAATGTTTTATGTAGCATTGTCAACTCATAATAGGAAGAAATCAAAGAGAACTTATATATTGGTGTGCTTTTGTTTACAAATGTACACAACTGGGCTTGGCCTTTGCAGTGGTTATGATGCCCAGTTCCTCTGCCTCTGATGCATCTTTCTGCTAATGTGCACCCTGGATGGCAGCAGGTGAGGGCTCCAGTAAATGCTCTCCTGTTCCTTACAAGGGACCTGGATTGAGGTGGACCAGCAGATGGAAGATCTTTCTCTTCCTCTCCCTCAATCTCTTTCCCTGTCTCTCCACTTTTCAAATAAAGTGAAACTAAGCAAGCCATTTCCAAATGATTTTAATGCGCACATAAATTTTAGCCTAGTGGATTTGTTAGTGTTTTGTGCCTTCATAAGTCACTTTTCAATGAAAAACTAACTTGGGCTTGAATTTTGTACTAGTATATGATTGGAAAATAATGAATAGTAGTAGGGCAAGTTCTCATTCTATTGAGTCCCTGTATTATCACACTATTTTTAATGTAATACTTCAGATGATATCTTCTAGTCTACATAGCAATATTTAGTGGCTAGTAAACACTCTTGATAAAAATCAGTATTAAAATCCCTTTTGCTATGTCAACTGAATAGGTGTTTATCAAAATACAAATAAAGATTTTGCCATCTGGTGGCAAAAATATTAAATTCCAGAGGGATCTGTAGGGCTCTAGTATGAAAACAGGACTTTGAGATTGTGTTCTGTGTGACAGAAGTAATAATAAGCTCTCTAAAAATGACAACTTTAACTTTGGAAAAGGTTAGTTAATAGAACAGAAGGAAGATGGGGACATGATGGAGTAGGCATATTGGTATAAGTATGTGATCTGGCCAGATACCTGTGGCTTATTTCAGCCAGTGGTTGTGTATTATGCAAAATATGCAACCTAAAATGATGAATCTCTTTGCCTAGATGTGTTGGTGTGGAGCAATGATCGAGTTATTCGCTGGATACAAGCTATTGGTCTTCGAGAATATGCAAATAATATTCTTGAGAGTGGTGTGCATGGTTCACTGATAGCGCTGGATGAGAACTTTGACTACAGCAGCTTAGCTTTATTACTACAGATTCCAACACAGAGCACCCAGGCAAGCATTTCTGTGCTATGGTCTCAACTGATTATGGTTTATTTAATGACAAACTGTACTTTTAAAATTATAATATTCATCATTCTTGAAGTTAACTCAACCTTTGAAATATGTCACTGGGATTTTAATTTCAAGCTATAGCATTTCTAACCAAGACAAAATCATAAAATTAAACAAGAAGGGATTTAGAAATTGTATGGCCCAACCTCCCACATGAAAGCCAGATTCCCCAAACAATACACCTGACAGATGGCCTTCAGTCTACATCTCTCTCTGAGGCAATCATTTCTATTTACATATGATTTAGAGAGACAATTAACACTGAGCTTGGGGTAATTCCCAAATCTGCATAATTATTTGAATCAACGGAGTTCCTTAGATATTAAAAATAAAACCTTCGGCCTATATCATAGTCTTAAGAAATCAAATGTCAAGATAAGGCATAGCAATCCTTATTCCCAAAGTTTCACCAAATGGTGATCCACTGGCCAAGTTTGAGAACAACCTGCATAGATTTGATAGAAATTTGGCAGTTGAACTTAATTTTCTACTCTGTACTTATTTCAAAGTTACATGAAATACTCAATTAGAACTGAGTCAAAACCTTTTCACCTCAGACATTTCTCTCTCCAATGTTCACAAAATAAAATTGCCCTACCTTTATAGATACTGTTTACAATGGTCTATAGATATGGAGGACTAATGTAGCTCAAGACCCTATAAATAAAACATGGTTTGTCATGTATTCTCAGATAATATGCATATTCTTTAACATGCTTTTGGGAACAGTAACTGTCATTTGATGTCAACAGGCACGGCAGATTCTGGAACGGGAATACAATAACCTCTTGGCTCTGGGAACTGAACGACGACTGGATGAAGTAAGCCCTTCCCTGTCCTTCAAGTGAGATCACAGATAGTTCCGGAAATAGGAAATACCCTCGCTTTGAAGGAATAGTGCTTGGAAACTAGCCAGATGCTTTTCTGTGGGGAGGCTCTGGAATTAATAAGTACATTTTTGTGTCTATTGGCTAAAATGATAAAAAGATTTATGAATTGTAACTATAAAATGTTGAAGTAGTTTTTAAAAATTAAAAGCAACCAAGTTAATGATAAATTCAGTTTTCTAATAAGGAATGTTCTTAAATATCAAAACATCTTCCAGGAAATTTTAGAATATTTAAATAAAGAAAAATTTGCTCTCCATAAAAGGAAAACTTTCCATATTTTTGATAGTTTTCCTTGAGAAAAAAAAAGTTAATTATATGTATTAAAAGTTATATAGAATGTAAGAATTTCTATACATAAGCTATGTTGAAATGATATAGAAACCGGTAAGTATGTATTTTAGCCTCCTGTGATGAATGAATACAAGGGAAACTCGTATCAGCAAACCTTATAGACAGGAATGATTCTCCCAAGTTTCTCATATGACCCTATTGGAAGAAGTGGGAAGGAAGCCTGACTATGGAGTGGAAAATACAGAATGCAAAACTTTGTGTTGCATTTTCTGTATACAAATAGGCAGGGCAGATGGTGTTGACGTCAACTATCTTCCCATAAATTCATGTTACTGCCCAATCAAGACAATGACAAGTGTTGTGAAAAACCTAGTTAACACTTAGCTGTCTTTAGTTTTATTTTTTCTGTTGGACAGTGTTTTAAATGCTTATTCTAAATTGCCAATTCAAAAAGAAAAGACTGTCTTTTTCATTTATTTATTTGAAAAGCACACTTATAAAGGAGGAGAAGCAGAGACAGTGATCTTCCATCCACTGGTTCACTCCAAAGGCCAGACCTGGGTCAAGCCAAATCCAGGAGCCTGAAGCTTCTTCTGGGTCTCCAATGTGGGTGCAGGGGCCCAAGTACTTGGGCAGTCTTCTGTTGCTTTCCCAGGTGCATTAGCAGGGAGCTGGATCTGAAGTGCTGCAGCCAGGACTCAAACCGGCACCTACCCATAGGGGATGCCGGCATTGCAGGAGATGGCCCAGCTTGCTTTGCCACAATACCAGCTGCTCAGCTTCTTGGTTTTTTAATGTCAGCAAAAACAGACAAGTCGTTTAGAACCATGGTGACTTATTTCTGGGGCATAACTGATCACACTGAGAGTCCACTAATTGGAGAAGTTTTGATATGTTTCTGTAGACTTTGACTTCAAACAAAAGAATGCCTTAAATCAAGCTATTGATTTACTGGCTTATTTTTAAGCCCTTACCGATCATAGGAGTTGTACAACCCTGCAATGTAAGATAAGACTTTATGCAACTAATGCATATGCTTAATGTTCTAACTTCTTCAAGAAGTCGGAAATGCTCTAGCTTTTGAAATCGTTTTTCTATATTCACAACCACCTGGAGATTGTAAAACACAGCAGTTGAGGACAGTGGCAGACATCTCTTAACCTGTAAAACAGTTAGGAAATCTCAGTAGAATTTTGATATTAGGATTTGCATACTTTATGTATTTCCACGTATAAATAGAATATAAACAATTTTTCCCAGACTGACTTTAAATATCACTTAATTAAACTGGCAGTCTATGAAGAATATCTTATCATATTATTCACAAATAACAGTATGAGCTGAATATTAGTTATTCTTATACCAATTTTAGTCGGGTAAGCAATACCTATTTGTCTAAATCTTGAAGGAATAAACAGTGCTTCCCTAGAAAAGAATATTAATGACATAAGAAGACAATGACTATGTGGAGTGATACTTTCCTTACCATTGGACACAAAGAATATTAAATGCTGAATTACTTATTGCTGCTTACCAAGTAATAGTAAAACAACTGTATCTGTAAATATGCTGTGTATATATTCAAAAAGGGAGGGGATTATTTGAAAGGTAACCATAGGTAAAGTGTGCTTTTAGTGGCACCTAAGACAGTTGTCTAGCTGACAGAAGTTTTAATAGACTGCAGGTTAGTTCTGTATCACCTGAAATCTAACAAATACAGGATTTCTCATTTGCGTTAGTATTTAGTATTCCATATTAAGTAGGCCATCTTAATTTCTCCACATCTATTATGTCCATAAAAGTGATTATTATCCAAGTGTATAAATCAGAGTCATTCAAGCAACTGATTGAATTCATAGCATAAAACCAGTTAGCATAAAGTATATCTGGTATTACTTTTAGAAAATGTTTCGAATTCTAAGGATGTTATGTTTATAGATGTGTAATAGATTTGAAATCATACTAAACCTTTTTAAAGAACATTCCTACTTCACATATTTTCTCATTTTTGAATCTGTAGAACTGTCAGGATAATATTCTATATACAATTTTTGACAAACTTAATGCAAATAACCTGTGTTATGTTTCTAAGCACCTGGGCTAGTTTACTTGTTTTCATTAAATCCCATTTTATCTGTACTGGCAGAGTGATGACAAGAATTTCAGACGTGGGTCGACCTGGAGGCGGCAGTTTCCTCCTCGTGAAGTCCATGGAATCAGCATGATGCCTGGGTCCTCAGAAACATTACCAGCTGGATTTAGGCTAACCACAACATCTGGGCAGTCACGGAAAATGACAGCAGATGGTACAGTAGTTTTACATTTCTGCTTGTAAAGTAAAAAAGCTTGGTTAGCAGAAGCTATTCTAATTCTCTGACCTTTCTAGCATTCTGGAATTGATGGTTTTCTTGAGTTGGTTTGCTCTGCTTGAAATTTTCTTTGCTTTCATAAAAAAAAAGTCCTTTGGAAACTGCTAATGCATGAACTCATGGCAAGTTATTCACATTTCAAAAATAACTGATAACATCCTCCAGAGAGAACAATTTTGGCTAATGTCCACATCTAGGAAGAACAGTCAACATGCATGACATACGTTCTTTTTTCTATTCTCAAAGCAGATAATCTAAGTTGAAACCTTACTTTAGACTGAAGGACCACAGTCAATGGCAGTTAGCTCCTCTGTTCCCCTCCATGTTAAAATACTGCAGTTTTTATACTCATCTTAGAAATTCGGACTCAGCAGATAATCCTAACCTCTGACCTGGGCAGAAGGCCTTAAATAAACAAGCACAACCATGAGAAGAGAAGCCAACAAACACGAAGTCAACAGGAATTTCCCACTTAGTAATTCCTTCTGTGGACATTAGACTTGTGCTATAAACTTCACAAAGGAAAGCAGTTGTTCTGGAGAAACCTTGGAAATAGTAGTCCCAGGATGACTCGTTTGGTAGACGTCAGAAAAAAATTGTCCCACTCTTGATTAAGATAATTACCAAGGATGAACATGTCCTATTATAGCTGTTACAGCTCTTGAAATTAGTTACAGCATAAACTGTAACTCTGGTCCACATTTAGGATAAAGTTGGTCCATATTTATTCTAACTTGTCACTATTGTGGAATATGTTGGGAAAATACATGAGCAATTTAACATGATTAAAATGAGTATGTAAGTTCTTTAATTTTTGAAAAAAAGCAATCTAGTATCCTGAGCTTTCTAAGGACAATCTTCACATCAAAAGCAAGCACTCAGGGAGCTACTTTGGTTACAGATTTCATCTAACGTGGAATACGTAACAACTTGAAAGCTCATTTGAATTCTGTTGGAATACATTTTCAGTAGTAACTTGGTCTAGAGAAGAAAATGAAGAGTGGCTTTTATCTAACAGAGGGGAGGCCTTATGACTATGTTCAGGATCCCTTTCTGCAGGGAACCCACACCTTTCTCATCTGAAATCTTATCCTCAGTCATCTGAGATCCTCTAAAGACCTTTTCTCCATTTGCAGTTGCTTCATCAAGACTGCAGAGGTTAGACCACTCCACTGTCCGTACATACTCATGTTGACAAGCCACTCAAAGGAGGCAGCACTGACCTGCTGTGAGTAGTTTCCCTTGGGCTGACAAAAACAGAGCAGTAACAACAGCAAAATGGAACCTCCCTAGGTTAGTAAGTAGGCACTACACCCTTGGGTGTGGTCTAGCAGTACAGAGGTGAGCTAACCCCTTTGCATTGCTAGAGGGGGGAGAGGAATCTTTGTAATGGAATCTACCATTTCCGATCACCACCTGTCTGCTACAGTTCAAGTTCTGGTAAGAGACCTGTCACTCTGCTACTTCTGGTAGCACTTTAGAATGACTCCCATAAACACTTACCTGCTAAGAGTCTGGCACTTACAGAATCATTTATTTCTAAGTGACGCTTTAGTCTGCCAAAGTAAGTAGACAGTGATTTACGCAAGTTCACAGGGTCAAACAGTGGCAGAGATGAATATTTAGAGGTGGTTTCACATGAAAAACCAAAGCGGATTTTCTAAAAATCTTGAGTTTTTACTATGTTTTTCATCAATGTAATGTACATTTGTTAAATAATGAATATTCAGTATTTGGAGTTTAAGTTTATAAGAATGCAGGACAGGAAAAACACAAAGCCTTGTTACCAACTTGGATCTCTAAATACAAGTGCGTTATGAGAGCTACTTTCAAATCCCATTTTAAAAAATGGAACTTTATTGAAAAAGTCTTGTTAGGAAAACTAATTCCAAATTTACAAATGCCAGATATTAGACTTTTTAAGGTAAAACTGTGCTTTACTAAAACATCCTACCATTTTCAGTTAATTAGTATTTTGGAAAACAAATTTTTAGAATGATACGCAGAACCAGATGTGTGTAAACGAATGGGAAAACAAAGCAGGTATAGGCAGAGGAACAGCTCATCTTGTGCTGTTTATTCATTGCCTTGAACTAAAAGCTCCACACAACTGACTGTTGGTCTTTTGGGCCTAAGGTGGGAGCGGATTTGCGGCCTTATTTGGGTCACTGTTTAACACAGATAAAACAAAAAAGCATCCACATAAGAGATTTCAGAATGTACAACTTTAACATTAAAATTTTAGTCTATAATTGGGCTTCTAATTAGGCACAATCTACAGTATATGCTAATTGGCTAGCAGACTTCTAGAATATTATTTATAATGAATTCTACACATAACATGATAAAAGTTCCCCAGCAACTTAATATTTCACTAATTTACAAATGACTGTCTAATGTGTTCAGCACCGCTCGCTTCTTGGCTCGTGACTGACTGCTAGAATTACTCTAACTATTTGCAACCTATTTTTCATGCATGGCATTCTAGTTCATGTTTCCTACTTTTTACTGTTTAAATAGAAAAACGATTTTTTCATAGTAAGTAAATCCAGGGCAAGTGAGTTTTACTTACGTGAAATATTAACACTTTTTTATTAAAGTAATTCCAAGCAGATGATTTCTTGTTGCTTTGGTGTTGATGATAGCAATTGTGAGCTGTTCCTAAATATATTACAAGTGGAAGGAATCGCTAATGTACATTCTTTAAATGTTATGTTTTTGTTAATTTAAACAGAGCTAACTTCTTAAGAACTATACAATCTATGATCTAGAATATGAATCTATTCCATGGAATACATCAACTAAACCCAGTTTGTCAATAAGCAAGCTTTAAAAACTTCGGGAGGCGTGCTGACATTTCGTTGGTATAGAAGACATACATTCCACCAATCCTAATATTAAGTTCCCCAGGCACAAAGTTTGAGAAGAGCAGATGTTAATGCGCGGCCTAAATCCTGGATGATTTCCTTTACGGTGTCTTTGAGGAGGAAGGACAACACAGACCTGTGGCCTTGCATTCTGGGAGCTAACATTGTCCATTATGTATTTTAGATGCCGTCTTTTCAGTCTACTCTACCTAAAGTGCACTACCATCCAAGAGGACAAGCAGTGAAAACCTTTGTGAAGATGAAGTTCCAATGATAAGTAATGGTTCATTACACACTAAAGATGTGATTTTGAGGGAAGTCCGATATTAAGTTGATTAGTTTACTATAATTAAATGCTTAAGTCATTTGAATAATAAACATCATCCACATCATAAACTCTGTACAACAGATGCTTTTATGAAATGGAACCACTTGGTTTTTCATGTTTTATTGTAATATACTAGGCATTTATGTATTACTGTGTATTTCTTTTTAAATGTGTAAGTCTTATGTAAATGGATATAAATATGATTTTTTAAAAAATAAAATATATGGTTCATGGAGTCTCGAGTGTAAACATTTGACAATTCCTAGTACTGTTTGTATTTTACCATTCCACCATTTTTACAGTTTTTGAATTGTAACAGGCAAATCAATGTTTCCTTGAAGCATGTTTCATGCTTCAATATGTTTCTCCTTCCAGTCTGTCAGTACTTAAAGCTGAACTCCTGCCTCTGATCATGTAAAAAAAAAAAAATTGATTCAACCTGGAACTGGAGCCCAAAAGACCTTAAAGGCAATCAGGGGTGTCCTTTATCTTTAGAAATAGCACTGTGATGGCTCGATCTCCTTTTCGATACAAAACAAAGCCAAAATGTTTACAAGAGTCAAAAGCAATTACTTAAAAAATTTATATATAAAATACATTATATTCTCTTGTTACCTGTGGGCCAACCGGGGGGGAAAACTACATGCTCATTAAAATATCCTGAGCCGACCGAAAGTGACTGCCAGCCACGGCCATGGGAAGCTCATCTCCACCGGATGAAACAAAACCCTGGAAAACTGTTCCTTTTGTCAATTTTAGCAGGGCATCAGCCACCCTCATGTCCAACGTTCTAAGCTTTTAGCCGAGGTGGCCTTGTTGCGACTTCCCTGAAGTCAGTTTTATCAGAGGATCTAAATGAGAGACAGAATGATTAACATATATAGTGTATAAAAGTATAGAAGAGTAATCTCTTCCCTGTGGCTTTATTTGGTGGTGTTATTGTTGTTTATTCTTTGTTTATATGGGAGATTTCAAAGTAAAACCTATTTAATATTACCATTTATCTAACTGCTGATTTCCCACTGCTTGATCTTACTAAGCGCAAGAACTGTCATTAGTAATTTCTTTTTTTGTATTTTAATTTACTATGTTTGCACGTACATAAACATTTGTTTTGATGTCTACTTTTGTTGAACAGATTCAGTCAAAAGATAATGGTAACAGAAACCCTCTCCATTGTCAATAAAAACAAATACTTCCAGTTCTCTGTTTAAGCTTCATTTTCTAGTCACATGAGGTCTCACAATTACACGTGAACTACAATGAAAACCATTCGTGTAGTTACTCCAATCTGCTACTTAGCTGTGAAAGTAGTCTGCCACAAGAGGGAGTGCTAAACTTGTTTGTGAACGTGTCTTTACATTTTCTAAAAACCTTGCCTGAGGAGAGACAGTGGGAGAGCGTGTTCTAAGCTCATTGACTAGGGGGATCTGGATTCATAAAAATGAATTCAATGTAGAAACAAGTATTATAACACCCTTACTTCATTGTGTCTACTCTTACACTACATAAACCACTCATTTATTGTCTTCCTTTTAAAGATCAAGAAACATGACTCACTTATTATAGATCCTAACATATGGCAAACAAAAGATAAAGCTATTTCCCTAAAAAAAAAAGCAGAAATGCTTTAATTTTTAAGATACTTTTTCCCAAATTTTAGAACCCATTTAATGGAATAAGCTCAGAATCACAAGGTTCTTCCTTCTGACCATGAATATTTTGAATTCTTACATTTTTAAAGGTCAGGGCCTTCTGAATTTAATTTTAAGAAAACCACTTTTTAACTGTAAAGCAGGTCTCTTCAATATATCTATTTTAATAAGCAAAATATATCAAACATCACTTTTCTATAGATACTGAAAGCACTTTATTTTTTCAATGTCTTAAAAAAATCCATGAAAATTCCAAATAAGATAATTTATCTTGCATCTTTAGCAATGTGTTTAGGAAATATTATTCTTAAATATAATTCAAAGTGCTTTATGGTAACTATCAAGATAAAAAAAATCCCTTTCCAACCATTTCAAATTATAATCAGTCTACTGACTATAGTTTCTTTCTTACTCCACTTCTACTCATGAAAATAACAAGGCTTTTTGATGATTCTGCAAAGGAATAAATTCCCTGAGACACAAGCAGTAGCTACTTCCCCAGTCACACAGTGTTTTCCAATCCACTTACCTGAAAAACTGCCCACCTTTGCTTGCTGAAGGTTCCCATCAGATTTGATTGCCAGAAACAGTTGCAAGAGGAGGAGCTAAGATATAATCATTAAACAATCCTGGGATCTGCCTTAGTTTTTACCTTGCAAATAAACAATGATACCCATCCATCTAAGGAATTTGCTATTTCAAATAAATAATCTTCTATTGGGAAAAAATATACTTTAATCTTAAAACATTAAAAATGGATTAAAGATCAGTTGTGATAGTAAAATGTACCCAAATAGAAGAAACCAAACAGGTTTATAATGTCAAGCTAGTTGGTTTAATTTAGGCCAAATAATAAATGAATGTTTTTCAGGTGTAACTATCAAAAAGGCAATTTAAGCAAAAAATATAATTTGAAAAGTCATTTATTTTGTAGCCTACAGTTTCAAAAGGTCTTTACAGAGATTGTAGTTGTGTAAGACAAACAAGAAAATAAACATCTCTCCTATATATATCATAAAACCAGACCATTATGTTAAGACAACCTACTATTGCTAGTAATCCCTATTAAGAAATGAAAGGTTGAGAAATGGGGTGAAAGCTACAGAAAACCCAATGGACACACTTTGTTTAGATTTATTCTTTGATCACTGATGTCATGTGGAATCCTAAACAAATATGTAATTACCTACATTTATATTAGTTGGTACATTCCCATATAAACTTACTAGATACTCATTTTTTAAATGCTTAATAGCTTCTTGGAAGTTTAAATAGAAAGATGTGTCTGAATATCACAATTTTTAATGATTTACATAAAAATTAGAGCTGTTTATGTAAACTAGTGAATTTGGGTTCTCTTAAGAACCAGAGACAGTTGCAGTGTGCACCTGTGCCCCTCTGGGCCACGTTCTGTTGGAACTGAGTAAGCTCTGCTAGGAGGGTAGAATAGCACTCTTCAGTTTTCAAGAATTCTTCTGACTCCCTGATAACCAACCAAGCCACGTGGCTCAAATTCACTTCAAAAGCTCCTTGACATTGCAGGACCTACCTGGAGAGTCCCTTGGTGTTACACCTAATGTGAAAACCTTTACTTTTGTTTCCTGAGAGTTCTCCTGCCACCCTACCCAGTGTGTACCTCATTTCCTTGTTGCCCCAAGAAGCAGGAATCATTAGGAAGTGGGAGAGGCTCCCGGAGGCCTTCAATTTGGTGGAGATTGACTTTAATGATTCCTAGGTTTTCTGTCCTGCACGTGATTTCCCTTGTCTAAGTAACAAATGACCTGAAGGTGGAGCTATAACCCCGGCGTCTTGCCTTCCCTCAGGAAACATGGCTACACAGATCCTCCCTACTGAGAAAGTAATATGTCTAGACAATTACTTAAAATTTCTCATTTCATAGATTCCATTTAAAACAGTTTGGGCATCTGAGAATATTATATGATGATTAGAAAATAGAATTTCTAGATGAAACATGTATTCTCTGACATTTATATGAATATTAGACTTTGGGTCAAAGCTGCAGATTTTTAACTTCAAGAAATGCATCATATATATAGTTAATTAACACTGGCAATTCAAGTGTTTTCTAAGGAGTATGATTTTAAAAATCTAGATCTGTATTTCTGAATGCACTGAACATACAATGAGTCATGTTACAAGCACCTGGTAAACCTTCTAATTCAGTCAAATCAAAGAGCCAATCCTTGCACCAGTCTTCATTAGGTTTGCTCAAACCAAGCTTTACAATTCACATTTCAGTTTGTAATTTCCATTTACATATTTATTTCTGAGAAATAGCTCAATTCCAATGAGAAAATTAGCTCAAACTCAGAGTAAAAAATGTCAGGATGCCCGCTTCAGCACTTCTTCTATCTGCCCAAAAATATTGGGGTCTTCAATTACAGGAGATACCTAGAAGGAAATTTAATGTCAGATAAATGCTTTTCCTTGAAACTCTCCCCTCTTCATTCCCTATTAAACAATTATATGCAATATTGTATTCTATGTGATGCTGTATTTCAAGTCATTCTCATGAAACAATGTTCAAAAATAGGGAAGTTTGAACCAAGATTTAAAGATTTCAGTCTTCCAAGGTAATAAAATAAAAGGCTCAGTTAGCAAAACTATTGGTCTTAGATGGTACTTTCTCTGGAGTTCCTCTAAAGAACCTTTCTGTGTACTTCTGTAGAAATTATTTTTATTTTCTGACATTTGGTCATCCAAGTCCTCTTTTGCTGCAATATGGCCTTTTCTTAGATCTTGATGTTAAAAATACATTTATCTGTGTACATCCAATGAAGATACAAATTAAAATACATACGCTAGAATTAAAGTTTCCTAAAATAATTTTCACTCAAAACAGGAGAAATAATTACCATAGATATGTATATACATGTATACCAGTTGAAACAATTTAAACATCTTTTGGAAGCCTCAAATATTTTCCTTTCTCATTCACTCATAATCATTAATAACTATAATAAAGAAAAATTGTAACCATACTTCAACAAGACTGAGTTTTTGCAAATACGTTTGTATTTAACTGACATAATTACTAACAATAAAAGTATTTTCACACACCGGTTCCTATTATCAAAACACACGGTCTTCACTCACCTGCTTTTCTTTCCAAAGCACACATTCTTACAGAGTAAGTGTGCAATTTCCCCTCCAGCATTAAAAACTTGTACAATTATGTGTTTTCTTGGGACACAATTCATGCTTGAGAAGCATTTTTTTAAGCATTCTGCTGATGCCAAAGAACACAATGATTCAGACCCTAACAACAACCCTCCCTGGTCACTTACCTTATACGGCTTGCCATTGACGAGGGCAGATAGAGTATTCCGAGGAATTTTGCCTGATCTGGTTTTAGGTAGCTGTTTGACAAACACTGCATTTCGAAAAGCAGCCACAGGACCAATGGTCTGTCTAACGTGTTTCACAATCTCTTCCAAAACTTGCTCCTCAGTGGCATTTATATCTAGAGAGAAGGTTGAAAAGGTAAGCACTGGCAACATCATGCTCACTCAGAGCCCAGCCCATCAGGGAAGCAACCACCTTACCTTTTTTCAATACACACAGTGCTAAGGGGACATGACCTTTCAATGGATCTTCCTTGCCAACCACAGCACAGTCTGCCACGGAACCATGGGAGAGGATCGACTGTAATGAAGAAAGGCATCCATTTCAAATACATATGTATGCACGCACAAACATATGAGTGCATTTCACAGAGTCCACGGAAGGGCAGGCCTTTGGCCCAGTGTTCGGGTTGTCGTGCAGAATGCCCAGGACTGGATGCAAGCCCCCCAGTCCTAATTTCAGTTTCCTGCTAACGCACACCCTCAGGGTCAGGAAGTGAAGGCACAAATATTTGGCTTCCTATCATCCACAAGGAAGACCCAGACTGAGTTCCTGAATCCCAGCTTTGCCCTTGCCCACTCCAAACTGTTTTGAGTGTTCAGGAAGTGAGCCAATGGAGGGAGTGTGCACTCTCTCTCTCTCCTTTCTCTCAGTCTGCTTCTCAAATAATTTCAAAAATTCATGTAAAACATTTAAAAGATAAATTTTGGGGTTGGCATTGTAGCCTGGTGGGTTAAGCTGCCACCTGTGGCACCAGCATCCTATATGGGCACTGCTTCAAGTCCTGGCTGCTCCACTTCTGATCCAGCTACTCGCTGATGCACCTGGGAAAGCAGAAAATGGCCCAAGTGCTTGGGTCTCTGTTACCCATGTGGGAGACCTGGATCAGGCTCCTGGCTTCAGCCTAGCCCAGCCCAAGTCATTCCTGCCATTTGAGGAGTGAACCAACAGATAGAAAAATCTCTTTATAACTTTGCCTTTCAAATAAATAAATAATTTTTTTTTTAAGTTTGGGGACAGTTGTTTGGTGCAGGAGGTAAGATACTGTTCGGGGCATACACATTCCCCAGCAGAGTGCCTAATTTGGGTCTTCCTCTGCTTCCAATCTAACTTTCTTGTACTGTGCACCACAGCAGGTGGTGCTTCAAATACTTGGATCCCTGCCACTGATATGGGGGACCTGGATTGAGTCTTTGATCCCTGATCTCGGGCTAGCTCAGCTCTGGCTGTTGTAGACATCTGGAGATTGAAACAGGGGATACAAGCTCTCTGTCTCTGTGCTTTCCAAATACAGTAAATTATTTTAATGTAACAAATTTTTAAATCCATGCACAGATGTTTCATAGTATGTGTTTTCTATGAACTTTATAACTCCTTGTATATGGTTTCCAAATTTTGCAGCAAAATAAGCATCTTTTAATTCCATTTTCCACAGACTTGAAGCGTGTGTACGTACGTACGTACGTGTGTGTGTGTGTGTGTGTGTGTGTGTGTGTGTTTGAGAGAGATCGAGAGACAGAAATTGTGAAATTTCAGCTGGGAAAAAAAGTACATGCAAATGATCTGAAATTCACAGCTGTGTGCCTGAAAATTTACTACTAAATCACATCATTACCACTGAGGTGAATGGTTAGAATCCCCGTGGTACTAACCAGAGAGTAGCAGTAATTAAGACAAATAGCTTGGCTTTCCTGGAAAGTAAATGGATTGTTTCTTCATCTTAATGACTTTGTAATGAAATCAGAGAAAATGTGCAGTGGACACCACACATAAACAAAGTGCAGTGGGCTTCCACAGACAGGCAGCCTCCTACAGACTTGACTTTAGTGCTACCATAGCCATGTCTTCCAGAGGCATCCAAGGCTTCCCTGTAGTTACACATTGAACTTATTTTAGGGTCTGTTAGTGAGCAATGAATAGAGCATTCTGTCATCTGAGTGACTACTTATCCAGAAAGGATTTTCCAAGACATGAAAGAAGAATCTGGACATGGAGAAAAGCCCTTACAGATATGAGATATTCACCACTGACAAGGAACCATTTTCATATTGCTCACCCTAAACTCTTAAAGCAGCTACTAGTCTGGAATCCAAAGACCCCACAGATTTGAAGTGACATATGAAACACAGGTTTAAAATGACACTACCCTGCTGGGGTCATGTTCAGGGTGGACATCTGGTCTATCAGTGAAGACCCCAGTTTGGATGCCTGCATCCCACATCAGAGTGCCCGGGTTTGATTCCTGGCTCTGGCTCCAGATTTCGGCTTCCTACTAACGTGTACCTTGAGAAACAGCAGATGATGATGACTCAAGTAGCTGGGTCCCTGCTACCCACAAGAGAGAAATGGATTAAGTTCCTGGCTTCCTACTTCACCCTGCTCAGCCTCAGCTGTGGCAGGTATCTGGGGAGTGACCCAGCAGATGGGAGATCTATTTTTGTGTCTGTCTCCCTCTGTCTCAAAGTTAAAGGAAAAAAATACATGTTAAAAAAATTCTCTTATGAGATATCAATATATATTTAATTGACTCCAAACCCATACTGGCTCAAGCAAACAGTGAACAAACTATAACCAACAGCTCATTTGGCAATCCTTATTCTTTATCTATTTATTCAATCAACAAATATTTACTAAATGATCCCTGAGTTGCAACCACTGCACTAGGCTGAATGCGGAGCAAAAACTGGAAGAGAATCATTTTGTGGTGCTACAGTTTTTTAGGAGAGACAGCTATCAATAATTAATCAGAAATATTTAATTATGAATATCAAGATACAAAAGTATAAAGAGATTTAGGGAAATAACTTGGGTTATTTATATAAAAGCTATAAGGGCATTAAAAATTCATGGATAACATATAAACACAAATACTATTCATGTATTTAAAATTATTTGTACTAAAATAAACAATTCTATTTTCATATGAACTTTCTGAATTCCCCTCATAGAACAAAAGTAACCGCTTGGCAGAAAAATACAGATCTCAGAGATAGATTGGAAGAATGCATAAACACTGCTTGGGTAAAGAGGAGGGAACAGGGAAAAGCCCTGCGTAAGAACTACACACATACCATTGATACCTGCAGGAAACCAGTGTGGCTGGAAAGCAGAAATAGAGTGAGAATAATGCAAACGATTTAGGAACTACTGAGTTGTGCTAGGGACTTCCAATTATGTTTTAGCAGCACTGGGAAGGAAATAAAGCATTTTCAGGAGTTAAGGAGGATATCAAAGATCAGGTAGACATTTTATTTCAGAGTAGTCTCAGGATCACAGAAAAGCCGAGCACAGAGTAGACCGTTCTCATAAATTCCCTTTCCCTACATATACAGAGTCCTTTACTCTATGAGAATCCTTCAAGAGGGTGACTTATTTGTTATAATCCATGAACCAAGACTGGGACATCATTCTACTCCTACACAGTTTACATATGGTTCACCCTAGTTTTCACAGTCTATGGATCTTGACAAATACATTCATATAACACACATCTACCATTCTAGCACCACACAGAGTATCTCATTGCCCTACCCCTCCACCTTCCCTATGTTCTGCCCATTCATTTCTCTCTTTCCCTTTCCCCTAGCAACTGCTGATCATTTTAGGATCCGCAAAGCCCTTTTTCCATGATGTCATATAGTTGGACTTATATAGTATGTGGGCATTTAAGATTGACTAGATTCATTTCAGGGTGAATTTTGGTAAAACATATACTTACTTTGGTTTCATCCCAAATAAAAGTACTATTGAGGAGTGTCACAGGTTACGCAGGGAAACCACATGAGAAGCTATTGTAACAGGTTAAGTTCATGATAGCACAAATATTTCAGGGTTTATTTAGGTGTAAAATGGAAAAAAAATCAGTGATAAATTGGATACAATGTATGAATAAGTAGAATGGTTGAGAATAATTCTGTGGTTTTTGACTTGAGAAACTGGTTGGATGGTGATGCCATTTTTAAAGTCAGAAAATACAAGGGAGATCTAGGATTAGGAGGCAGTATCATGTGATAAGTCTTAGAGATGTTTCATTGGGGTACCTCTGATGGGGAGAAGGGTGGATACAGAGATATGAAGAGAGACTTAATCTGCAAATGCATATTTGGAGGTCATTACTGTCCAGATGGTAATGGAAGCTGTAGACATGGATGACATTATTCAGGGAGAAACTAATGAGAAGACTGAAAGCCTTGAAGAACTCTAACATCTAATGGCTACATGTGAAAAGGAGAAGATGGAAAATTACACTACAAAGACAGAGAGAAGTAGGAAAACACACAAACAGAATTTGGAACATGCCACTTTGAAGCCCCAATCTTTCCATGAAGATTTTTTTTTTTCTAACTAAGCCAAGTTCAGAATCAGCCATCTCATTTCCGAACCCCTGTAAGACTCAATGAACTCCCAAAATTTTTGGTACAAATCCAGTATACCAGCTCACATCACCCTCAATTAACTAAGATCAAAATTCCTCCTATATTCCATTATAAGTGTCCTATAGTGTTGCACTGTTAACAGAGTTCATTCATATAGCTTTTGACTCCTATAGTTCTGAGGATAACACATATCAAATAAAAGTGATTTTTTGTTAAATGTTTTATTAAGTTCCTTGCTGATGTAAAGATGTCCCTGTCTTGTTTTCAAGTAACTAAAAATTGAAGTTAAATTCATAGTGTGCAAATTATGCGACACCCTGTTCTACCAATGCTATAACATGAATTCTTAAAATGCTCCAACAACTTTATCATTTGTTACAGTATTTTTTACTGTTAGGACACATATGTTGAGAGTAGAGAGACAAATTTTAATGCCAGATATTTGCTGGCAGTCACTCTAATCAGTTGCAAATTATGGAGAATACTTTGTTCATAGCAGACAGGATATAAACTTGGCAGGCTAGATCCTGAAATTCTGACCTAATATGCTCCTAATGAGTAAAGCTACAGCTTTTACATGGCCAGCCATAGCTACAGTTGTCAAAAAATAACTTACTAAAATAAAATGTTCATTGATGTCTAAGCCTCTGTACCTGTTTCAAATTGCCAAAGTATCTATTCAAATTACTATAAACACAAATCAGTCATTCAGGCTTTTTGCCACCTAAAGAATGAAATTAACTTTAACTAAACTGAAAGTCAAAACTTGTAGCTTGCAACTCTTTCACCTTGTTATTTTAATTTCACCATGTTTCCATCTTGCTCCTAGAAGTGGATGAAAAATTGTTGATTATTTTTCTATAATGTCAAAGAGTATTTTTTTTCTTCCAAATTTTTTATTATGGTAAAATACAAACAACATAA